CCCCCCCAGGCTCCCCACGTGCTCCTTGCGAGAGGGTCCCCAACGCAGAGGAGGGTGAGGCCGGGTGACACCCGAAGGCGAAGGCAGCGGCGCKGGGAGGGCGGCCGGGTGCATGCGGCAGCGGCGGCCGCGTGTCCTCATCCGCTCCGGAGCCGCCATCCGTGTGCGGTGGCCGGGATGCAGCAGCACGAGCCGCGCGGCGCCTTTGGCAGCGTCCCCGGCTGCTGCTGCCAAGTGCCGCGCTCCATGGGAAGCCAGGCGGAAAAGCCCCCTCGGGGACTGTTGGCGGCTTGGATGGTGCCCCAAGGCAGCAGCTTTGCTGGGACCGCAGTGGCCAGAGACGCTCGGAGAGCCGGGGTGGGGGTTTTGGTGTGAATGAGGGTGCCGGGAGGGCCGAGCCRCCCGCTGCCGCGCAGGTACGACGCCGGCAGGGACGGCTTCATCGACCTCATGGAGCTGAAGCTGATGATGGAGAAGCTGGGAGCACCACAAACTCACCTTGGGCTGAAGAACATGATCAAGGAGGTGGACGAGGACCTGGACAGCAAGCTCAGCTTTCGGGAGGTGCGGGGCCGGGCCGGGGGGACTTTTGGGGACCTTAGCACCTGGTGGGAGTGGAAGGAGCCGTGGCCTCTGCTCGGTGGCCGGAACGCGGTGACCGCGGCTCTGTCTTCGGGCTGAGGGCGCTGACGGCCGTCCCCTGCCGCAGTTCCTGCTGATCTTCCGCAAGGCGGCGGCGGGCGAGCTGCAGGAGGACAGCGGGCTGCACGCCCTCGCGCGCCTCTCTGAGATCGACGTCTCCACCGAGGGCGTCAAAGGCGCCAAGAGCTTCTTCGAGGCCAAGGTGAGTGGAGTGCGGGGCGAGCGGCCACGAGGCGACATGGGGACTGCCCCAGTGCCGCTCCACGTGCCGCCCTCCGCAGGCCCAAGCCATCAACGAAGCGAGCCGCTTCGAGGAGGAGATCAAGGCCGAGCAGGAGGAGAAGAAGAAGCAGGCGGAGGAGCTCAAGCAGAGGAAAGCGGCCTTCAAGGAGCTGCAGTCCACCTTCAAGCAGTGACGGCCASCGCCGTGCCCGTCCTGGCGAGCCCACTGCGATGCACCGGAGATGCTGCGCGCTGCCGCGTGCTGCCACGCGCTGCCGCTTGAGCCGGCCAACGCCGCGGTGCCCCTGCAACGCCTCCTCCTGTAGATGTTCTTCGTGGAAATGTGTGTCCGCAGCCTCGCCGTGCCCTGTGGCAGAGCTTGCACCCACCGCTGCCTTGTGCTCCAGGTCCCCGATGAGCCGCCAAATGGCTCYGGCGGGGCCCGGGGCTGGAGGAGGGCGGGAGGGAGCCCTGGGCTGCCKTTTTGTTTTGCATGTGCTGTGATTTTCCCTTGTCTTGTCCCCCGTGGCAGCGCACGAGTGGCCTGGCGCCCTGCCGGAGCGCGCCGGGCCCTGGGCTTGCGGCTCGCCAGGCCACGGGGCCGAGGAGCCRTCGTGCTGCCCGCGGCCGTGCGCGCGGAGCCGCCCCGGCGCCAGGGCACCCACTCTGCAACGCAGCCGGGCTTTCTGCGGGGTGCAGAAAGCAGAGGTTTGCTCAGCAGCACGCGGACCTCACTTTATTTTGGTATTGGCTGGATGAGAAGGTCACAGATGAAGGGAGAAGCTTTATTTTTTTTTCTTTTTTTCCCTCTTTTCCTTCATGTTGCAATGAGCCAAAAAGGAAACGTTATAGCCCCCAGCTCGTCCCGCGAGCTGCGTGGCTTTCCTGGGGGGCACAGGTGGCCCGAGGCCTCAAGGGAGATGCGTTGCTCCATCCAGCGGTACGAGTGTGAGTTTCTTTTCTTTTTAAATCCCAAATAAATATTATATTTCCTAAGCGTGTGTGTGATGCAGGAGGGGGACGTGATAATGGGGTTGGGTGGCACTGCTTGGCTGGGGCTGCCTGGGAACGCACAAATGCCCGGAGGAGATGCGGGTGATGCCCTGGCTTGGCATGGAGGACCCTCCATCGCCCAAAGGCCTTTCCGACTGGAGCCCGGGGGCAGGTGAGCGCAGCTGCTCACAGAGGGGACATGGGCCCAAGGTCCCATCCGGTGGCTGTGCCGGCCCTGGGGCCACCTGCGTCGGCACGCGGGGGCAGCGAGATAGCGGCGCCGGGGGCCTTGGGCACAGCCTCGAGCCGGGCCGCGGGCTCGTGGCACAGGGGCCGTGGGACACAGCCCAGGTGCTGCCAGCGCCGCCGCCCTGGGGGCGGCCATAAATACAGGGAGGCGCACGGCGGGCGGGCAGCGTCGCCACCATGCTGGTGCTCCTCGCCCTCGCCGTGCTGCTGGGCTACGGTAGGTGCGGGGGACACGGCCGCCGCCATCGCTGCGGCGCCCTCCCCATCACACTGGCCTCGCTAAGGAGCCTTCAGACCCCCTT